CAGGAAAGAATTTTACTAAGATTAATATTCAGGATTTATACATGATTGTGTATGATTCTGTACAAATTAAAGGGCCAAATATATATGTTGGCGGCATCGGTTATACTTACAAACCTTTACTCATATTTCTTCTGACTGAAGATAAATTATGTGCAGAAAACAAAACCATTTATTTAGACTTCTGTGAAATCCCATGCAGTCAATTAATGAATCAGGTATTTTCTTACAAAACCAGTGACAATTATCCAAAACATGCAACTTGACTCTCAAGAGAAAGGAAAATGAGGGCACTGAATCTTCTCCTTAAATTTCACAGTGTGGGACTGTTAGGCTACTTGTATGACCACATGGAGTAACTGTAAGTCTGCACAATTTAGATTTCATTTTTCTTATGACATGTTGAAAAAAACCCAACATAGACTTTGTGGCATTTAGTTTCATACAAATAGTTGTAGCAGGTAGTTTTGTATGAACAAATTTACGTGCAGCCAGATAATAATAGAGATGGAAATTAGACAGCAAATTTACATCACAGAAGAAGAAATAATTTACTTTTTAAATGACCTGGCATAAATGCAGTAAGGTTACAATATTCAGTAACAAAATTTTGAGTGCAAAAGAGACATTTTCTAATTTGTGTCCAGGTATTAACTGACAGAACAGACAATGTAAGGCTGATACTTGAAATTAACAAATGCTTCCTAAGAAGCAGAGTAGGAAATACTTTCTTCACAATGCTGCTCAGAGATACTGAGCAATTTCTGGAAAAACGTTCACATGTTTCATTATGCATGCTGTGAATTGGCAGCCTAAATCCACTCTCTTTAAAAAAATGCATTATATATATAATTGGTGTAGTCCATTTCATCTGAATTTAGAGAAGGGATTCCATTTGAAATTAAGAAACATATAGTTGTGTACATGTAAGTGTCTATATTTAAGCTAACCATCTAGGCTCCCATTTTAGACAGTGGCAAAAACTCCCTTCAGTTGCTCTCATATCAGAATTTATAGTAGTTTGTGATGTCCTGAGATATCTGAGGAGACATTCGTTAAGACTGTCTTAACACGACACCATTCCCCACTGAACTGCAACTAAAGCTCAGATGGGATATCCTAGGGTGTTACAAAGAGCACCAGACCTCTAAGGTCAGGCATATGAACGAAGCCATGAGATCAAGTCAACAGAGCCAGTAAAGAACTACATCTATGGAGCTGACTAAATGGAGGTATCTACTTCAGGACCAGGAAGTAGAGACTGTAAAAAAAGAGTCCTTTTCCCAGGAGGACTCAAGGTTTTGAATCCCAGCAGATAGAATTTGTTCCCTCTGAAGCCTCGAGTCATTCTGTTGTTTAGACATGTGCTCGTGCTCAGTGTTTCCTATTGAGTGTCTCTATATGACTATGCTCCACTGACTCTCATCTTCAGATAGAATAGCATTGATTTTCTCCTGAAGTGCTATTATATTTTTCCTGCACAGGGCTCTGGAAAGAACACAGATAAATGAAGAGGTTTTGTTAATATGAAACTCAGGGACTATTTTAAGAAGAACCTTGGATGTAGTTTTATGAAGATTTCCTCCTTATAAATAATGCATAGGTAGTCTGCTATGTCATGGAGCTCATTCATCTATTTCGCTGGAGTAATTGCTGAAAAGGAATATATATCTATAGGTTAAAATGGCACATCCATCAGCTCATACAAAAGTAGATTTAAGACTTACTAAGAGGAGACTTAGTTATGGGATAGCCTTTATGAAAGTGGAAAAATCTTGGCATGGCAGCCAAATGACACTTACAGCAGCCAGACATACTTGTATAGAACCAGACTGTTCAAAATGCAGAAAACAGTCCAGTACGTTGTGTTTAGAGTGGCAATGAAGACAAAATTATGCCAATGCAACCAGATTAGAAACTTTCTCCATTTTGAAGAAAAATTGATGTTATATTTTCTGCTGTTTGGGGTTTTTTTCTCCACTTGTGAACGAGCAATCTCTGCAGTTGTCAATTGGTAAACATTCATATTGTTAAAATGGAACAGATGTAGGATTTACTCTTTGACATGAAGCAGGAATCAAAGGTAATGGTACTGACAGCCTTATGGGAAGATTGTGAAGGCCCCCAAACATATTTGTTTTGGCCAGGATTGAAATAAGCATTTATATGTTATGACTCTCTGAATATGACTCCCTGAATTACCTCAGAGAGAATGAGAATGAGTATAAGGTGAATGTACGTTATGACTAAGTCTTGGATATGAACTGGGCCATGGGAAACAAAATACAGAATATGAAACTTTTACCTGAGAAATTATCAAGTTGTTGCTGAGCATTGAGTTCGGCACTATAATGTTCAAATACAAAGAGGCATCACTGGTGAATAACAAAGAGATTTCAATAACAAAGATAACATGTCTCAGACATTATCAGGAGAAACCCAAGGAAAATCTATTGCAACCTGTCTTCTACCGGAGGCAACCTTCAGGGAATACCACTGAAGTCTGGGTAGACCCAGATTGCAAAACCTGCTCTTAAAAATTGCTGATGTCTTGGGAGGCATCTCAGGCAGCCTGGACTGATTGTTCTTGCACTCTGTGTATTTTGGTTTGCAGAAGGCACCCTGTCAGAATGCCTGCAGGTGTTAGATGATGAACCTATGGAAGCTGGTTTTGATGATATTCAGTCCTTACCTTTCTTTTGGAGAATGGAACCTTGGGTCTGATTCAGAGCACGTAGATTCCTCTGGTAGAAAGACCTTGGGGTCTGACTTTCTAGACCACTGCTCCTTTTTGAAAAGCATCTCCAGAGATTGGAGCTGTCAGGAATGGGACTTTCCCTGAGGCAAAATAAGGACCTCGTGTGGCTGTCATTCAGGGACATGACAGCCACACAAGGTGAGCAGCACGTGATGCCTCAAGATTTGTGGTCAGACTTTCTGGATAGCCAGTGCTGAATTTAGGCTGCAGAGAAATATCAAGAAAACAGAGAAAGATTCCAGCCTCGGGATGAATTGGAGGATCTTAACATAATGCTAGTACCAGGTTAATGTGAACTGTGCTAAAAGAATCAACCACAATCAGCACACAAACAAGAAAATTTAATGGCCTAGGAACAGAGATGCTCCATTTTATACAGTGACAGGTACTGGATATGGCTGAGTCTGTGTGTCCTTGGTTGGAAGCACAACGATAGAAGAGGTACATGTGGCACCTCTGTAATTCTCTGTCTCGATATTGATGTGCACCCATCAAGAGTGGAAGATGGAGGGTTTGTGTGTTCTGAGGAAATGAAAGACAAGATGTGAACTCAAGCAATAAGCCCTGACTGCCTGCACTGATTAATTGTTAACTCATTGGCTTTTTCTTGGACTGCTCCAACTTGCTCTTTGAGGAATGAAACAGCTCCAGAGAAGGTAGCTCTCAGCAGTATAGAAATTAATCAGGCTGTGACACTTTGGCCTCAAGATCAGGCACTGGGCCTTGTCCCCCTTTTATTTATTAGTAAAACTGTAACCATGAAGACTATTTCTCAGAAGAATAGTGCTGAATAGGAGGTGTATATTTATAGGAAAAAGATATTGGACAAAATCTTCAGTGCTACATCAAGTGAAGAATGGAGGGACAAACCATAAAAATAGGGACTTAAGAAATTCACGATGTATTTTTCTGCTGATGTCTAAAACTGAAAACTTCATCATTCACATAAGAGCATGCATTCTTACTTATTTTTATGCACTTATGTTGGAAAGCGTACATTGTCGCTCACTTAAATTTTGCCTCCATATGCACAGTAATGTACAGTCAATGTGTTGTATCAAGCATACTTCTACTTTTCTCCAATAAATGTCAATATATAATTGCAGCTGGTATAATACCAAACATCATCTTGTGATACAAAGACAAATTGATGGTGCAATTTCATGTGAATGACTTTTGGAATAGGGTAATTTTATATAAATATTTGAAACAGAAGAGGGATGGATTTTAGATTAAATGAACTCTGGGTCTTCTACCTGCAGAGAGGATGAGATTAGTGAGAGGTCCTTGAGGAAGAAACCGTTCATTTTTATTTGTTCCATTCCTTTTAAAAGAGAAACAGCATTATACAAAATGGCCTAAAATTCTACTGAGTACAGCAGAGCACCTCCTCCCAGGCATGAGCCAGATTTTTAGGTAGAAAAAGCTGTATGTCAGTGGTGAAGGATAATCTATGTGTGGGTGGGTGTTGCAGGCATAACATTATTAGTGCATCGTCATTTTCCCATTGTAGAAACGCACTGACTGACTTGTGGAAAAATAGCTGTGATTCCTAGTCACCACATTTTCAGTGGGTACAGTCGAATGGAAGATACAAAAGTGTTTGAAGAAAGAGAAAACAGTGAGATTCCGGCACCCTGCCTGAAGCTTTCTGAGCGGCGTCTCAGAATAATTGACAAGCGTGGCTTTTCTCCTACATTAGGTCTGCAATTGCATTCCATGCACCCCATTACATCTGGCAAGGTATCTGTCATTTTCACTGAAGCTCTAAGTGGTCAGTATGTATAAGGGGAAAAATTAGACAACAAATGGCTGATTCAAAGTCTGCTCATATGTCACGTCTACAGATCTGACATGACTTTGGAGAACACAGTGCTAAACCCAAAGTCTTTGCCTTCTTATACTTTTCTTTAAGAATAAAGCATTTCCATGTGGTAGGACCTGAAAAAAAGATGGATATAACCTAGGAAAACAAGGAAATCACATTTCAGGAGCATAATGGTCTATACAGAAATATACAAAAGCCCCTCAAGGATAGACAGCTCTGTTATCTATGAAAATATAATAAAATAAATTTCACTGATATAATTTGGTTTCTCTTTCTCAAGATTTTAAAAAATATAAACCAAGGTTTCTCTTAGAAGAAAAACTTTACATTGCAAATGGAATTGCTGTGAGTTATTAATCTTTACAGCAAATAAAATATTTCTGAAGGACAGTAGAAACAGTCTGCTCTGCTACAAACGAGTAGGGAGACGAGCTTGTGCAAAGGTGATGTCATTGGAATCTGGCAGGGAATGCAGCTTACCAACTAATGGAAAAACTGTGAGAGCCGAGCAAGTAAAAAGGAAAATGAAATACACCTAGGTGAGCCTTGGGGGAGTTTTCAGTAAAAATATTTTTTGTTTCTTTTTTTGAGGCACAGTCTGAGTTTGCTCAAGCCTGTAATTCCCAAAATATTTGAGAGAATTTGGCTGTTAAATGCCTTGATTGCTGCTGCCAGAACAAAGTCTCATCGCACAGGATGTAGACTGCTTTTAAAATCTGAGTAACTTCATGTAGGTTGAAAGTAAAAAGCATCTTGGAGGAAATCCTTAGCAACCTGCAGCTCTGGGGCCATAAAAAGCATCTAATTTTGGGCTGGCAGGAAGAATATTAACCTCAGCCTCCTGCCATTTGTCCTCACATTTTTTCCCAGCTACGGCAGCTTCCTTCCAAGCAATGGAAATTCACTGGCTTGGATGGCAGTCTAGCCAGCACCTAACTGTCTACTGGGAGATCGATGGGAGGTAGAAACTCCTGATGCCGAGAACCTGGCAAACTGTTGACTTTAGATTTTGAGCTGCAGTGCACTGATGAATATTAAGGAAAAGCCATTAGTCGTTGACTGTTGGCTCAACAGCACCTGCTGCTGAATTCAAAGGATCTTATTAACATGGGGTTCAGAGGTGGTGGTGATCTGTGTATACACAAACATGCTAAAAATGGAAAGGAGGAAGCTGGTGTCATTAACTCTGTTTATCTTCATGTCAGAATCCAGACAAAACTCCATCAAACTGAGGTCTGGTAATCAGATACTGTCCAATCTAATGATATTTCCTTTGAGTGGCTATTAAAGGAGGTTAAAGGGAACGTTTTGTGTATTCACCTCAAACACACTGTGCTTCAGTCTGACCTAGACAGATCAAAATGTGTTTGGAAGTTAATATGGAGAATCACAGATGAGACACAAGCAGAAGTTACCAAAAGACTCTGCTTACAGAGTTACAGCTAATTTTCAGCATTCTGTTTTCCTTAAATCTCTTACAGTTATTAATCTGGAGTTTACTAAATGGTACCTTTCTCCCTGCCACTCCCTTTTGAAAACTTCTAGCTTGTTTCACTACACGAAGGATGCAAAGGCAACCTGGTGAACGGGTGAACAAGCAAACGCAATTTCTAGTGGTCTGGATAATCTTTCTTAAAGTCTGGACAGCAAAATGGTGGAGATATTTTTCCCCCTGCTTGTGACATTCAGCAACAGAGAAGGCGTGACTCACACAGTACCTTTGCCGACACCTGCATGCTGTTTTCTTGCATGTTCATGATGGCTTCGGAAATCTTGACATCAATAGGATCCATGACTGATTCAATGTTGAATGGTCCCTCTAATCTCTCCGCTACCAGAAGCATAGCATCTGTTAAAACACAAAGCAGCCATTCCCTTAAAGAAGGGATACTTTTGGGTGCCTCAGACAGACCAGCATCACCAGCCAAGAGGCGTGGGTACCAAGTGCTCTCAGGCAGGATCCTGTGGGGATGTGTGGCAGCGGGACAGTGAAGACTGCGGTGCAGTTTCCCAGCTGTCAAAACTATCTTCCCCTACCACTGCCACCACAGAAAGAGGAATAAAGATTGTAAAAGTTGGATTAATAATTGTTGCCATAGCATTATCGAGCTTGGGGTAAAATTATTTTCCACAGCGTTGCACCGCTTGAAGCAGCCGGTGCTCTGGAGTGTACTTGTGTAGTCTCCTTCCTGACAAAAAGCAGGATGATAGAAATGTATCCCTGGGGTATGTTCTTAGAGTTTGTGTGAAATGATGAAAACTTTGATATGATATATCAGGGTGTTATAATTAAAGCAGCTGTTCTTTCTGACCTTAATGATCTCATTTTCTTGCAATATGAACAGCAGATGAATATTGGATTTCTGCCACAGCATATAGGTATAAACCATGATTGCCTTGCTACATTTTCAAAACACGGTTGAAAGTTGTATGCAGAAAAATATATTTTTGTATGTTTTGGATTTTAAAAACAATTGCTTGCTTAGTTTACATTAGAGCCCCTCTCCAAAATAATTTTATCTTTTTGTGTTCATTAACAGGTAAAAAACAAGCAACTGAACAGAAATTAATAACAGTAAAAAAGGTTTTGCCATATGTTTGTCTATGCACAGACAGAGATTCATTACAATTTCTGTGTCAATAGCCATTGATAAACTGGATTTATACTATACTTTTGAACATCACATTTGATCCTTGTCTCATGTGTTCGCATCTAAAATTTTCAGCATCTAATTATCTTTGAACAGATGCCACTTGCAATTTTAACATGATAAACAAAAATCTTCACGTGCTCTTTTTTTTTTATCCCCCAGGCTTAGGCTCCAAAGGGTGTTAATCAGACTTCCTTCCAAAGCAGACCCCACGCATGCTTTGCTGTGGTAAGCACGAGTCCCACGGCAGTTATGTGGGGAAGGCACGGAGCACCCCATAGCCCCGACAGCACCGTCAGCTCTGCACTTGGCTGGGGAGTCCCAGGACTTCTTTCCAGCCTGGGTGCAAACTTCTCCCTCCCCACAGGAGCACGTGCGCATGGACGTATGGGAAGAAGAGGCTGGTGTCTCACCCTGCCAGCTGAGACACTGACACCTGTGCACGGCCTGACATGCGGGTTGCAATATGTTGTTGTATGCAGTCAGTGCATGCTTAAAAATCCCATGGAAACTGAAAGTACTTGGCACGTAGTACCTAAGCACTGTTGCAATTTCAGGTCTAATGTTTCACAATACTTTTAGTCTGGAAAGATTGTAATGCGTTCTTTGGAGTGGGGCGTATAGCACTTGTTGCTAACTGTGAGAAATGGTGAGATGATAGGAATTCAGTTTCAAACAGAGATGTTATTTTGGGTCTACATTATTTTAAAATTCTTTAGTTTAAACCCTTGTCCAGTGGGAAACTCAGTGAAAACAGCACCTAACTCAGATAAAGGCAACAAAACAGTTTTCCTACACACACACACATGCACACGCACATGCATATGCTTAAAGATTCCTGCAATAAGTTAGTAATTTTTCCACACACAAAGAGAAATTGTAAGTGTGGTCTAGAATAAAGGATTTTCTTCCTCACACATTCAGAATGACTTGTATAACATGTTTATGCCTTTGCCCTTTGTGACTAATGTGCTCAGCAGAAATCCTAGCTGCCACAACGAGTACTGGGCATTGTTACAGCACAGGTCTTGGTGGCTGGACTTTGGTGGTTTAGTCCAGGTTAGGGTTAAGACTAAGGTTAATGCATAAAACAGTCACACGGTTTTGTTCTGTTTTGGTTTGGTTTGGCATGGTTTGGTTTGGTTTTTTTTTGGTAGAAGTAGCCCACAGTTTAAGTTGAGGACAGGGTGTCTCTGTGTACAAGCACGCTTTTGTTTGGGAACTAGCAGGTTGGACAAGTCTAGTGCTAAGCTCAAGTACATATTTGGGATGATGGACTGTGTTGAAGTGGAGTTTGGTAAATAGGTAATTGCTGGAGACCCTTCATGAGAACAGGTGGTGAGTCTGCTTGATGTTTCTTCTGATGACATGGGGCACTAGTTCTGAATTAAATTTTGAAGCAGGATCTACATGGCAGAAAAGTGCATCGTCCTTAACTAAAAAAGAACCACAGCTTTAATTGTAAGAACAGCCTTTCCTCAAGTAAAAGACCTTCAACTTCAAAATTAATACTTCTAGGACATGCAGACTAAAGATCTGTGCCTGGCTTAGGTGTATCTTTAGAAAAAACATCTTCTAGTTCATGCCCTTCTGTTTTCTGAACCTTAACCCTATCTGTGGGCTTAGTCTTTCCACTGGAAGTGGGCAAAGGCTGAGAAAAGTGAGTAATTCCTGGCTGCCAAAGGTCTCTGTGAGCTTTGTGCTATGTTGAGCTTCCTTGTTTCATATAGTATGGTATGGGTCTGATGGTGGGTTCAAAAGGTTGGGTTCAAGTTAAGGATAGAGTCAAGTTTATGATTCAATCAAATGCATGCGCTACAGCTTTATGCTAAAAAAAAGGGAGAGGAGAGGGGTGAGGAGAGGAGAGGAGGGGAGGGGAGAGGAGGAAAGGAAAGGAAAGGAAAAGAAAGGAAAGGAAAGGAAAGGAAAGGAAAGGAAAGGAAAGGAAAGGAAAGGAAGGAGGAGAAGGAGAAGGAGAAGGAGAAGAAGGAGAAGGAGAAGAAGGAGAAGGAGAAGGAGAAGAGAAGGAGAAGGAGAAGGAGAAGGAGAAGGAGAAGGAGAAGGAGAAGGAGAAGGAGAAGGAGAAGGAGAAGGAGAAGGAGAAGGAGAAGGAGAAGGAGAAGGAGAAGGAGAAGGAGAAGGAGAAGGAGAAGGAGAAGGAGAAGGAGAAGGAGAAGGAGAAGGAGAAGGAGAAGGAGAAGGAGAAGGAGAAGGAGAAGGAGAAGGAGAAGGAGAAGGAGAAGGAGAAGGAGAAGGAGAAGGAGAAGGAGAAGGAGAAGGAGAAGGAGAAGGAGAAGGAGAAGGAGAAGGAGAAGGAGAAGGAGAAGGAGAAGGAGAAGGAGAAGGAGAAGGAGAAGGAGAAGGAGAAGGAGAAGGAGAAGGAGAAGGAGAAGGAGAAGGAGAAGGAGAAGGAGAAGGAGAAGGAGAAGGAGAAGGAGAAGGAGAAGGAGAAGGAAGGAGAAGGAGAAGGAGAAGGAGAAGGAGAAGGAGAAGGAGAAGGAGAAGGAGAAGGAGAAGGAGAAGGAGAAGGAGAAGGAGAAGGAGAAGGAGAAGGAGAAGGAAAGGAAAAAAGAGCAAAATCAAGCAGTATATCCCAGATTGTCTGTATTCTTTAATTGCAATCTCCTTCTCTGGCTTGGAATGCCTCTGGACCACTCCAGGCAGCTATTCACAACACAAATCTGTGGAGAAGCTAGCCTGAAGCAATGAGGCCGTGAGCAAATAGTATCACTTGACCTCGGAGCCTGGAAATCTTTTATTAAGTTAGCACTATAGGAATATGGCTAGGAACCAATAGCTTAAGGGAAAACTTTATTCTGAAATATCCATACCTTTATTGATGACAGATACATCTTTATGTCAGCAGTCTGTATTTTTGTTTTGGAGCTAGAATGTAAGACAAGACTAGTGTTAAACTAGAGGCCTATATGGGGACATATCTGAAAAGGCAGAGTCTGAGAAATGGATTAGATGCTGGGATGAGAGATGTTTGAAGGGCTAAGGTAAAACGGGTCCCTCCTGCAACACTATTTCTGAGGCTAACACCAGTTGTGCTTGCAGTTAAGGCTCACGTTAGGGCTCAGCTCAGTCTAGAAGTCTCGGGCAATTGCACAGTTCAGATGAGCTCTTGCACAAACGAAAAACTGATGTTTTTTGAGGACTCATTTTATTTTCTTCAGTTTCAGCAGGTGTGTGGGGCCACGGCTGATTTAGCAGTGACTGGGCTGCCGGGTTACTCCTGTCTCCTGGTAGGAGTACTACAAGCTCAGTCAAGCAAAAAAGGATGAGCAAGTGCCGCTTCTGTGAACTCCAAAATGATTTTCTCAGCCTCTGTCTGACTGAGCTCTTCCTTCTACCCTTTCTCTGACCCTCATGTTGTCCCCAATATTAAGTCACACCTATCCAGATGATATCTGACAGCCCTAGACTGAGAGAAGCCTCGAAGAGCAAGGCAGCCATATTACTGTAGGTGCGCAGGCCCCTTGGGAATATAATCACTACTGTAGTTAATTAGCTTCTATCTACTGATTTTTTTAGTTAGCCCTCAGATTAAAATTCAGAATGAATTTCCTATCCTTAACATTGATCTCTAGAATAAAACAACACACCGTGTGTTGTCTTCAGGTGAATACCTCCCTTGGAAAACATTCCCTCAGTTCATTAGGTTGCATCCTTTTGTTTGCCAACCCCAACCCTCACTCCAGTGCTAAACCTTATTATTCACTTGCACAATTCCATATGAACACGTGCAAGATATACACACCAAGTATCCTATGCAACTGAATGAAATAAAAGCTGTTATTTTGAATATAGTGAAAATCAGATGAAATGTAATGTTCTGAGATCTATGACAGGGCAGTCATAATGATGTCATGGTGCTTCCCAGGCTGTAACTCTTGAAATCTATAATCACGTAACAACAAAAAAACACTCTGTTGTCCCAAGTCTCCTTTTTTTCTCCTAAAAAATGTTATGAATATTATTACAGGAGAAGCTGTAAAGCTTTCAAAATGAAGTTAATAAAACCTATATGCCTCAGTCTTGAAATCTTAATTCTCAAGAACAGACTCCCGAACTCAAAAAAAGCCTAACTCAATTCAGTGGAACTCTCTGTGTTGGTTTAAGAATTTCTCAGTCAGCTCAAATAGTAGATATTGGAAGCTTAATTATTGTTTGTGTTGCAAAACCCTGAAAACTG